TCTCCCGAGGTACCGCCTCGAAATTCTAAAAGTAAATATACAACTCTTAATCTATGGAACAATGAATTTACAGCAAAGAATCATACAGTTAAAGACCGAATACAAGATCATAGAGACAAGTAATTTAACTAAGCATATTGTACATATTTCAAGTAAAAGTTAAGACATATAGATATACAATACTAGGCTAAACACGTCACCGACACGTGCTAAGGCAACTCAGTTAAAGTTAAAGAATTTAAAAGAGGACTTCCCATCAAGAACCGGAATTTCTACATCAAAACCAAACTTTTTTCTGTTTTCTTTAATGGTTGTCCAAGAAGGGACTGACTATAAAAACTTGAAATTCTTACACGTATATCTTCTATGAAGACACGTGGCTTTTCCCTATTCTCTAAGATGTTCCCAATTTTTATTATTTTATTTTATTTTTATGGTATTCCCAATAGTTTTTGTATTTACATATACAGTCAAACCTTTTTATAACAGTCTGGTTTGTTTCAAAATTTTTGACTACTATAATGAAATGATGTTATAGAGGACATATATTATAATATAATATTCGATTCAGAGAATAACTCGACTTTTATAATGAATGTCTATTATATAGGGATGGTGTTATAGAGATGTATTGCTTTATTACCTCATCGTAGTTTCATCGCACTCCCATATCTTTACATGCACCACCATCTACTATAATAAGAAGAAACAAATCAAAGGTAGGCTACATTATATATCACACTCTCCCATCCAAATTCTTTAGTGGGATATTTTTTTTCCACTTCTGACTGATATGTTTAGTCATACGTTTACTTTAAATCTTATATTTTTATGAGTCTTTTAGTCCTCATGAAAATTCTTATACGGGTAGAAACATAGAAAAATCTAGTAACTTAATAGTATTTATTTTGTATAATATTAATCTAAAATAAATTTAAATTAAAAAAATATATTTAGTGAGGATTCATATTAACTACCAAATTATCATTTTTGAACACTTTATTTAGGATCTCCATAGAAGTATCAAATCAAGTTTTCTCAGTCTCAAGCAACAGCCATAGATCACACCATACAAATAATGCTCCTAAGCTCATCAACTCCAGTTTCACAAACACTTTTTCCAGAAAGTCCAAAGAGATTTTGATAATACCTCTGATCACTATATTGGCACAGTCTTATTTCACCCTTCAAACCATCTGTGTTTTTATTCAGGCAACACCGAATTCAGCCCAAAAATCAGTAATCTTCGTCGAAAATCGATCCGGAGAGCTCAATCTGATGGGAATTTAAAAGGGTTGGTGTCAAGTTCTGATCTTGACCAAGTGGATATAGATCAGATCAAAGGTAGTTTCAAGATCTTGTCATAAGCAAGAGAAGATAATAATGTTGCAAACAGAACCATCACTTTCTATTTATAATCAAGATTTTGAGGAGTTCAATGATGGAAAATTGGTGAAGTCTGTTACTATAGGAAATGATATAGCGGATATAGTAATTAGTGATGATTTCAGCTTTGGAAAAAGAGTTATGGGGCTGATAGAAGAAGATGATAATGAAGAATTAGGTGAAGGGAAACAAGATAAAGAAAGAGTCTTGGATGGATTTAAAGACAATATGGGAGTTGAAGGAGGAAGTGAAGAAGTTGGTCTAATGTACCTTGCTTCTCGATTTGGAATTAATGACAATGGCATAGACAATAGTGGTGTTGTGACACCTAATTTTGAAACTTAGTGAAAATCTTGACTCCACCGCTACATGATTCTAACTCTATACCTTCAAATAAAACACATTTAAATTTGGACAATTAGCGAAAATCCTGACTCCGCTATTGCATGGTTCTAACTCTATACCTTTCAGATTTTGAAGAAAATGGAGATATTGAAGCGCATTATAAGAGGTCGCTCCAAGAATATCCTTCCAACCCTTTGTTTTTGAGGAACTATGCTCAGCTCTTGCAGGTCGGTCTATTGACTCTATTCACCATTCCATTGAGAGTCTTTTTATATTTTATGTTTATGAACATGGCCAATTCTCTTTGTACCGTGCACAATTTCTCTAAGATTTGACAATTGTGAAGTCTTCATTGAGGGCTATAACTGTAAAGTTAGTATTTTAATAGTCTATAGGCTACTTCAAAGATTATGTGTTCCTTATAGATTGCATAAAAACATGCAAGAGCAATCATTGGGCTTGTGTTCTCAGATGCCGACGATGTATTACTGTGCAAACTGAACATATCCAAAAGAACTCTGATATGTAAAGTATGATTGAAAGAGGTCAAGAACAGTGACAAGAAATGTCCTCGACTCTTCCCTCCGATTTCAGCTGAAGATAATGATGGTTGAAATTGATAAAAGGAAGTGTGTGTGTGTGTGTTCTTTTTTTAGTGGTCTTAGCATAATTTATTTTGTCCATAACATATTTATGAATGATTCGGAAGGTCATAGCCTCATAGGGACGCACAATACGTCCTGATATAATTGTTATTTGGTTCTAATTTTTCTGGTGTAATTCAACAAGATCTGCTCTTAAAAGATTTAGTAGTGATTTGGCTGGATGAAGCATACACGGAATTGTGACGACGTATGCTGTTTTACCCTTAAAAACTCTATTCTTGTTTCCACATAATGAGATTTAGTCCAATGCTTGGTTCTCTTCTGATATTTGTGTCGTTTATAAACCTTCTGCAACTTTGACAGTCAAAAGGTGATCTTTCCGGGGCTGAGGAATATTACTTTCAAGCTACACTAGCAGATCCAAAAGACGGGGATATCTTATCTCGGTATGCTAAATTGGTGTGGAGGCTGCACCATGATAAAAATAGAGCATTGAACTACTTTGAACGTGCCACTCGTGCTAATCCTGAAGACAGGTAATAATAATCTGTAGTTTTGAATCCTTACTTATCGTGAGAGGACAAGTCTACGGGGTATTAATATTGATTTTTTGTTTCCCTCAATGTCCTCGCAGCATATGCTAGTTTTCTTTGGGAGATTAATGATGATGACACTGAGAACGAGCACGATACAAACACACCCTGCAATCAAACTAAGGGTACTTTACAGAAGAAGTTATACTATATTTCAGGACATGGATTGTAAAGGAGATAACAGACCAGTAACTCCTCCATTGCATCTTGCAGCAGGATTTGGGATTGGAAGTGGTAATATTGGTGATGGAAATGCTGATTATTACTACAGGAGTATGATTCAAGAAAATCCGAATAGCGCGTTGTTGTTAAGAAACTATGCTCAGTTCCTTGATCAGGTAATGTCCCTTATTCTCATTCTAGGTTACCACTTATACATCCTTCATGTGCTTAAAGTGAGATCCATTTTTCCTCTTGCTTATTGTTCTGAGGATGTCATCAAATAAACATGTGAAATACTTGCTTTCGTTTAGTTTTTCTTTAGATCATCTGAGTAGTCCAATTAGTGTCGAAAACAGTATATGTACGTGGGCTTTTGCGTCATTGGTAATGATAATGACATGAGTTGAGCTTAAATCGAGAAGTGAGGATTCATATAGCTGACCCCAACTTGTTTGGGACTGAGCATTGTTGTCGTTGTTCATGTTGTTTATGAGCTCTCGCCTCAATCAAAATGTGTGCAAATACAGACAACAAATGAAAATAGACTACCTTGAGACACTTATAGCATACTTTTTCAAGCGGAAAACTCTACATTGCATTGAAATGAATATTATTAGATGTAACTTGTAAGTTTATATTTGTCATTATGCTTCTTGTTATTGGCCTGGCAGTGTAAGGGAGATTTAAAAGGAGCTGAAGAATACAACTCTCGCGCAATATTAGCATATGCTAACGATGGAGAAATTATTTCACAGTATG